GGAATACTAGATGCTGATTCTGTGGTCTCTGAGCTGGGGAGCTTGACCTTACTGACAAAGACATTTAAGGTGATTTCCAGAAGTGGTTTTCTACCTTTTTTTTGGTGATATCTTATTTCCCCAACCGGGGATCGAACCCACGTCCTCTGCAGTGGAAGCTCGGAGTCTTTACCACTGGACTGCCAGGGAGGTCCCTGATTTTCTGCTTTGAAAATTAAGGCTAGGCTATCTAAAGTATACTTGTTTGCCCTGCTGTTTTTTCCCCCGCTCAATTTTGGATTATAATAAACTCAATATGCTTCACAAGAAAATCCAGAATTTAAAAAATTTTGTCACTGATATGAAATATTTTCCAAAAGTCCATATATAGCATAGCATCCTTTAACTTTTCTTTGATGGAATGTTCTGACAAGAACATTGTAGTGGTGGCTGTGAACCTAGCCTGTGCTGAAGATTGTTGGATAGCAAACAACTCAGCTAACTCTGCCCTAAGGGGTGGCATTTATTTGCCTCTGATAATGTAGTTATCTGTAATGGAGAAGGCTCCCAGCTAAACTTGAATCAGACAACAACTGAAAGCTCCTAAAAATGATTCTCTGAGGCCTTTTGGAACTCTTCTGTGTGTGTACCTTCTGTCTGCTCTCGCAGATGAGCACTACACAAATAGACCGCAGGGACCTCAGGTGGTCCTGACCTTCAAGTTGGGCAATCTTTTTTTCAGAAAGCTAAATAGGAATGAAGATTTTGCTTGTGGTTTTTTATTTCCTCCACTGCCTTTTCATTTTAGGCCCGGAAAGTTAACTCTTGAAACTAGTAAAGACCTTGACCAACCATCTCTTTACAGTTTTTCTACTTTTTAAAGTTTCCCTATTACCCAAGCTTTACCCAGTGATTTCAGGATAAACCAAAATAGTAGCAAGGATGGGAAGATCCCACATCCAAGGTTTTCATCATATTCTCTTTCATATAATTTCCAAATGATATGAAAAGTGAACTTCATATACATTAAGCATGCCCCAGTACTGTTAACAAATAAAATATCTTTAGTCTTTGTTGATTATGATACAATTGCATATCAAGTATTATAGGATAGGGATATCAGTCAGAGAAGGCTTCATAGAGATGGCCCTTGAGCAGATCCTGGAAGAAATGAGTAGGACTTTAAGAACAGAGGAAGAATGTTAGTGGGTACAGGCAGGGGCTGGATTCTGTCTCATTTTGGAGAAGATAGAGGGCGGCGAAGTAATTAGGTAGTGTAGGTCTCTAGAACAGAGCCTCAAAAGCAGGCAGAGGAACTTCATTTTATGTGATCTCCAAGGACTTGAAACTGTGGCTTGTTTTCTAAATTGAAATGGGCTTGTCAGTAATAACAAATAAGTGTCTTATTTTTATTTCAGGTAAAGTGGAGTAGCAGCTTTGGGTATGTTTTATATATAGGTTAAAGTGTATTTTGGTACCTGTCATCCCCACAGCCCTTTAGCTGTACATATTTTGTACAGAACTATTGTTTTAAGACATCCCAAAGTAGCTTAAGACCATAAGATAATTACCGTATTAAAAAAGCATTAAATAGAAATGCCACATTTCAAGAAAGTAGGAATAAGATGATTTGAATTTGAAAGAAGTTGGGGACTGTAGTCTAGCGAGTACCTTTGCCTGCCTCCTGTCTTCTATCCCATGGCTCAATTAAAAAACATTTCAGATCTTCCTTCCATTTCATGTTCAAAACATGTGGGGCTCTGGCTTTGCTTACCTTAATTTTCATTATTGTGAGAATAGTTTTCCCAGTTATCACTGAGAACACCAAAGATATACAAGATGCTAATATGAATAAAAATCAAGGCGATGTTTGGTTTGTCTCTTGTAATAGATTGTTAGCACTGGTGGTGACATCTTGAAAGAAGCCAAATAATGGTTGTTTGCCTTTATACATAGTCTTGTAAGAGAACTACTTGTTTATAGACTGGTATATAATTGGTATGAAAAATTTCTCTCCCATGCTTTTAGAGCTCGTAAATTAGACTTATTTCAGTTAGAAGAAAATTCATTAAGGGTTCTTTGAAATAGCTTTACTATGTGTGAGATTATTTTGAAAGAATAACTCAATTTTGTTATGTGTAAAACTTCAGGAATAACTTTTGTGGATATCATAGAATTGTGTTCTTCACAGATGTGGGGTTAAATGATGGAGTTAAAATGGAAATTACCTAGGTCACACTTTTTTTCCTCTGACTTGATTTCTTTTGTTATAGTCTTAATTTTGTGTCTGGGGATTGAAAATAGAAATAGTGTATCTGTTTTCTCAGTAAAAAATATACTTTTAATTATACAAAATCATGGCATGTGCTATTAATGTGTTTTTTCAGACTTGCACTCAATCTCATTGTTTATTTAAATCTTTTATGTAGATCATTTATTTAAATATGTTGTCACTTTAGTCTTTAAAACTAGAAGCCTTGAGGAATGGCTGGGTCAGATGAATATTAAACTGGTAAGCTGTTTTTTCCTAGTAAAGGGTGATTAAAGTTGGTTCAGGGTGGGGCCTTATAGTTCTGGCTCTAGTGATTGGGTCTGTACGGTTCTGGTGCAGTGATAGTGATAAGCTTTTTGTACCACATGGGGCAAGAGATTGTGCTTCTAAGAATATGATCTATTGCTTATTGGCTCCGGTCTTTAAAGCTTGGGGATTAAAAATTGTTTTTTTGTTAATAGGTTTTGATAGACTTTTCTAATGCCAGTTTTTATAATTTCTTTGTTTTACAGTCTGCGTATATATCACAGCTTGCTTTGTGCAATGTGGGTGTTAAATGTGCTATGAGTGTACTTGTAGTGGAGGAAAAGCTTTAAAATAGTATGAAATAAATGTCCATTTTATACATCTCAACATACTATCACTTTCAAGCATCTAGATGTACTCAAACCAAATTAATTAGAAAATCTAGATTTCAGTTAATACCTACGCTTTAACTTAAGACTCTCTCTTGGTTACAGAGGTGTAGTTTGCTTTGAAAAATGTTGAAATTAATTTCTTAAATTTCTGGAGATGAGAATGCGCTTTCTATATAACCAGTTTTATAGAAACCCATCGGACTTCATTTTTAGATTATCAGTTTTCAGCCTTGAGCAAGTCACTTAACGTCTCAAATAACTGGCCTTTTCATCTGTAAAATAGCATACTCTGTTTTTCTTTTACCTATTCTTCTTGCGTTGAATATCTATGAAATCATTTGTTAGGAACTGTTCATTTAATCAGAAGGATCAGGTTTTCTCTCCTTTTCTATTGGCGGTGATTTGTTACTGATTGGTGTAGCATAACCAGTCTTCACTTAATTTTACTTTTGTTAGGTTTTTGGTTTTTTTTCCAGGTGCTAGTCTATTTTCTTTTGTATTTGTCCCTTTTCTTTGACTACTAAATTCAATTACTTAAATCTACTTACCATGGATAACATTCTAACTAGTTTTCCTCACATTTTTTTCTTTTTTAAATAAATTTATTTATTTATTTTTGGCTGCATTGGGTCTTTGTTGCTGCGCACGGGCTTTCTCCAGTTGCAGCAAACGGGGGCCACTTTTCGTTGCGGTGCGCAGACTTCTCATTGCAGTGGCTTCTCTTGTTGCGGAGCACGGGCTCTAGGCGCACGGGCATCGGTAGTTGTGGCACGCGGGCTCAGTAGTTGTGGCGCATGGACTTAGTTGCTCCGCGGCATGTGGGATCATCCCAGACCAGGGCTCGAACCCGTGTCCCCTGCGCTGGCAGGCAGATTCTTAACCACTGCGCCACAAGGGAAGTCCCAGTTTTCCTCACATTTTTTTTTTTTTTTTTTTTTTTTGGGTGTGCGCAGCCTGTGGGATCTCAGTTCCCCGACCAGGGATTGAACCCAGGCCACTGCAGTGAAAGCCTGGAATCCTAACCACTAGGCAACCAGGGAAC